GCGGGAGGAGCGAGGACTCGGCGCACCTCCCCCCTCCCTCCCCTGCCTCCTGCCGACAGCAATCAGCTGGCTTGCGGCATTTTGGAGGCAGGAGGGGGGGGAAGAGCGAGGACTCGGCGTGCAGGCTCCCCCTCCCTCCCGAACGTGGTAAGCCAGCTGATTGCCCCAGGCAGGAGGGAGGGGGGAGGAGCGAGGACTCGGCGCACCTCCCCCCTCCCTCCCCTAAGAGGCAATCAGCTGTCTTGCTGCGTTTAGAAGGGAGGGGGGAGGAGCCAGGATGCAGCGAGCGAAGTAAAGGGGGAGGAGGAGGGGGGGAGAAGAGGCGGGTCAAGGGTTGGGGCTTGGGGGAAGGAGTGGAGTGGGTGGGCTGAAGGTTGAACCCCTGCCTCTAGTGCTTGCAGAGTAGGGGAAGCTGCCCTGGAACCTAACCCCCCCTATTTACATTAATTCTTATGGGAAATTGGATTCGCTTAACATCATTTCACTTAAAGTCGCATTTTTCAGGAACATAACTACAACATTAAGTGAGGAGTTACTGTAGTCCCATGCATAACTGGGAAGCTTACCTGTTACTCTCAACTAGTGCACCTCACCTTTGCAGGATTTTCTTTGTTAGAACATACACAGGAATGACCCAGTGACAAATAGGGTAGCTTCTACTTTGAGCCTGTAGAAGAGTGCATGCTGAATAAGGAGCACTGTAGATAAAAAATTATCAACATACTATACAGTTTGCAAAAGGGTTGCTTCAGGAAGATGCGTTTCCTGGTCTCTGGTATTCTGAGCCCAATAGTAAATGAGGAAAAGGGGAGAATCATTTCCAATGCAGCATTTCCATTCCACAAGGCAGAGTTCTGTTTATCACTTCTGAACCACTTGGCTTTTATCCAGAGAAACCCTGAAAAAGGGGCAGCTGACCTGAATGGTTATCAAGGTTGGAGAGTACTGTTAAATGCTTATCTGACCAGGTCACTGTTGTCTATGTAAGTCACGTTCTCTAGCCAGCTTTCCCCACAGCCAATCAAATCTATCAGTTACAGCCCATTCACAACAGACAGAAGCAAAAAATAAATAAATGCTACACCGGCCACCTACAATGGAACATACAGACCGATCCCAAAGCAGATTGTGAAAGGCCCAGAAGACAACAATGCCCTATTCCACCATCTCATACTTTCAAGCATGCAAAGCAGTGAATATATCCACTTTCATATTTCTCTAGGAATCACAGTAAGTGATGTACTATTTAAAAAGGAATTTACACTTTGTGTTTTAAGCTTAATGACCACATACTTTTCCCTGTATCTAAATAAAGAGGGAAGTAACTTAAGATAGTGAATGAGTAGGAAAGACACCACCAGAGAAGGATGAGTCAGTATTTGTTCAAAGATAAGTGTCTAATCCATCTGTAATTATCCAGTCTATTTATAACAAGAAATCCCTGATCCAGGAGCCCTTCTACATGCTTACTGCTTATCAAAAGTCAGCAGCAGTTCTGTATCTGAAAGGGCTGGAGATTTTGGATCAGACAATAGTTGCTGGTATTAATAAGGAAGATTGTACATGTACAAGGTGCTATGCCTTTTAGACTCCCAAAGCATTAAGGTTGAGATGAGCTTATTGTTTAACAGCTAATATTGTTGTACAGAAATACTGGAATGCAGCCACTGCTGGTGTGGATGGCACCAACCAACCAGTACATAGCATGCTGTGAAAAACAGCTTGTTCCTATAACACTTATGTAACTAGTCTCATTAAAATCAACACCTGTTCACGTGAGTAAATGCTGAAGGATTGGACATCAAACTTCATCATTGTTATTCTGTTGCGTACAGGTAAGGAAACTAAATAGTTTATTCCCTGTCTCACAGATGTGTCCCTAGGACTTAATATTTGTAGTTATTTGAAATCCTCAGACAAGCAGTACTACACAAATGAAAAATTGTGTATCATATTAATAAGAGATGCAAGTTCATATTCACAAAAGGATCATAAAATAAGCCTTGGTAAACTTCAGAAAAGATAAAACCTTCAGTGAGGGAAAAGTTTACTAT